AGCAATAAACTTACATACAGCAGGAGCAGTTACATTTAAAAAAAAAAAAAAAAAGCATAAGCCTTCCTTACTTCTTTCTCACAAATACGGAGTCTCACATCCTTTGAGATTTAACATAATTTAAGTGTTAATTTCTTCCTAAGCTCTTTTCAAGCTACTGCACTCACCATGCAGAATTCATTAAACCTCATAGTCTCTTCATATTGATGTCTCAGAAAAAGCCAAATAACTCTAGCTGTATATTAAACTATTTTGCTCAAGAGCAGGGTCTTTTGTCCCTATTTCTGAAGATATATTTATTTATTTGCCCTTCTGAGAGAACAGTAGGTTACAACTAAGAAAGAATGAAAGTACCAGGCTTCTCCTCTCATTTGTGGGAAACATCTGCTTATTATAATTCACAGGGCTTCCAGTTCAGGGTTTGCAGTCCTGAGTCATTTCAGCCTTAAATCATCCTGAGTTGGCAAACAATAGTGAGGACCAGGCCAGAAAAGAAACAGACAAATCAATCCTATGTATGGAATGAGATTAAATAAAAACACATGCATACCAATAATCCCATTGCCAATACTTCTATTTCTAACACTTTCACCTTGGAAGCCAGTATGCGCTTTCAATGATGCCAGTGTTGCAAACTATTCTATTCTGGACCTTCTTTAGAACTGGCATCTGGATTACCAGAAGGAGAAATCTTGATTTTTTTTTTTTTTTTGAAGGTGGAGTAAATTTTTGGAGGTAGTGGCATGTACAAAGTGAAATATCAAGTTGGGTAGAAACTTTGCAATAGTCAGAAGAGGAGTCTCTAACTACAGACTGGAGCCTGCATTCTAACACTGACCCTTGCCACCTATTAGCATTTTGATGTGGACAACTTTACTTCATTATTTTGGATTCAGTTTCTTGATATGTAAAATGGGGATAATACCTTTGAAACTTTATATAAAGTTGAGTTGAATACCCAGGGTTTGAGTCTTGCCTCTGTCACTTCCAAACTTTTATGGCTTTTGTATGCCACTTTGTTTTGAGCAATCATTTTGAACACAGAATCCAAGAGGGAATGTCCCAAGGGATAATCCAGTCAGACAATCCCATGTTACAAAGGAAAAAACTAAGAATGAATAAAGAATAATTATAGACTAAGTACCCAGATTGTCACAGTGGCTGCTTTAAAAAGTGAATGTTTATTTTACATTTATGAGTTTTTGTTTGTCTGTTAAATAACTCATTTTACTGAAGGAAGTAATCAACTCTGACCTGTTATCACATTAAATATGTTTTCTAATAAATGAGAGGGAGCTCTGGTAGCATAGTGCCTAAGGCACTTGACTGCTAACCAGAAGGCTGGCGGTTCAAACTCACCAGCCACTCCTCGGAAGGAAGGTCGGGCAATCTACTTCCATAGTGATACTGCCTCGGAAACTTAAGGAGGGGTTGCTATGAGTCAGGGTTGACTCGATGGCACATAACAACAACAACGACAATAAATGGGACAGCAGTCTACTTGGGGACCCAGTTTGGGATCACACTGCTTATTCTGACAACCCAGAAGAGTTGGGTTGTCCAAGGTAGCTGGAGCACAGAAACTTTCTACCGGGCCTTCTGCATCCTCTGGGGTTTCTTAATAAGCAAAAGGTGTAGCTCTCATTTCTTCTGTCTCTGGGCTTATCCAACCTTCCAGCACAAGTAAACAAGAGTGAGACTATCCACAGGCATAAGCCCCAGGCTGTAGGTCAAAGTCTAAAATGGAGGGTGAGGGATAAAGGGAGAATGGGGGAGACCTAGAATGAGGAAGGAGAAAAGAATAGGAAAGTATAGGAGGGAATTTTCACCTTGGAACATAGTAGGGAGTCACCATGGCTACTTCCTGTGGCATCTGTGCTACTGTTTGTCCACCTGGGAACATTATCACACACCAGTGAGAGGATCTATTTTCTGCAAAGAGAAAAGCTCATAGAAGAATGATCTCCCTGTAGCTACTCTTAGGAACTCAGTGAAGGATTTTAACAGCCCTGGTGACACATGGTTAAATGTTGTACTATAACATGAAGGTTGGTGGTTTGAACCCAGTGAGCCGCTCCGAGGGAGAAAGGTCACGGTGACCTGCCCCTAGAAAGATTACAGCTAAGAAAGCCCTGTGGGGCAGTTCTGCCCTGTCACATGGGCTCATGTGAGGCACAATTGAGTTGACAGCACCTAACAACAGCGGCTCTTGGGAAAGTCTTACTGCGACCTCTGTATCACTTATGAAATTACTAGCTTTGTAATCACACCAAATAATTCAGTGTGTATAGTCAAAAAGCCATCCTTTTTCACTCCTTCCATTTTTGAGTTTTTATGCAGGACATACAGATTTCAAAAAGGTGGTTCAATTATTTGTTGATTGAATTATAGGAAGAAAGTATGATTATCCACTACAATTCAGGAATGTATAGAGCTAATTTTATGGCTGCATATATCTAATCCAACCATGGTAATTATTCTTTGTTTTTTTTCTTCCCCCCTGGAGAGAACAGGTTAGACAGGACCAGAATGCCTCATTATAAAGTATGCACATATAAATTGAACTCTCCCGGATCTAGGTCACTTGGGTAAGAAGGTTCTTTTGATAGAAATAGGTTGATAGATTCACAGGGCACTTCAGTGTTAAGTGATATTCTGTTTCCCACATTCTGGGTTATAAGGCAGTGTAAACAACACACTGATGTCAAGAAACAGAAAATTGTATGCATCACAATAGCACAAAGGAGGCCTGGTGGTGCTGGTGGTTAAAATGCTGGGCTATAACAAAGGTAGCAGTTCAAACCCACCAGCTGCTCTGCAGGATGAGGCAGTCTGCTTCCATAAAGATTTACAGCCTTAGAAACCTTATGGGGCAGTTCTACTCTGTCCTATAGGGTTACTATGAGTCAGATCAACTCAGTGGCAGTGGTGGCTTATAATAGCACAGCTTCACGGTACATGGTTTTATACTTTACTATGCAGTGTTCTGTTCTGCCATGTTCATATTTTAAGTAATATCATTTCCTTTATGTGCAGTTTTAGGTTCATCTTTTATTTTCTCTTTACCCTTCTGGAATAGCTTCCTATAATGCCACATCTTATGCCAAGAGAAATTTCTGAAAAATAGAAAGCATAAAGTCAAATTAATCTTTACAGAAGAATAGGAAAAACAACAACAACAAATTGATTTAAGATCCTTCACCCAAGATGTTCTCTTGTGTGCTTTACAGACTCCATCTGTGTACCAGGCTTTGATCCAAGCCTCAACATGATGACTGGAATCACCCCCATTAACCCAATGATACCAGGCCTGGGGCTGGTCCCACCCCCGCCGCCAACAGAAGTGGCTGTCGTCAAAGAAATCATCCACTGCAAAAGCTGCACTCTTTTCCCTCAAAATCCAAGTAAGTGACACCTGTAAGAAACATTTATATATTATTTCAAATACCTTTAAAATGAAAAAAGGAAGAAAAGAATAGTGTTGTGTTTATTTTCAGATGTGACTCTCAAATTCTCCCACATAGAAAGATGGAGTGTGGATGTCGTTCTACAGAAGGCCTTAATCAGAGCAAATACATGGAAACCTGGTCTGTGTGTCTGTTCAGGTGCTGAATCGACACAGTGAAGCCAGGACATGTGATTGCAGATATATATCCACCACTAAGAATCTTTTCATCCATTAAAGTCCAACATTTGCTGCTGAATATGGTGTGAAATATATAAACACATCCATCCATCTTCACCAATGTGGGAGAAAAACTCTGAAATGTGTTTTGCTAGATGGAAAATTGAATTAATTTAGCTGTTAGCAATTTTGGGGGGAGCCTGCATCTCAGACTTTCTGAACCAAATTGCATTTGGTTGAAGGAAATGTACATTTGATGAGGTAAATGGGCCAGACTTTTTTTTTTTTTTTTTAATTTAGCCTCAGATACTAAGTTTATGGGCTTAAATAACTGGAGATTTTTCTTTTTTATTCACATTAATCAGTGTTACCTATTTTAAGTGGACTTTTCACAAGATTGCTTTAGCAATCTACATATAAACTAGGTAAAATGTTGTGACAGTATAAAGTTTATCTCTTTCTACAACCTCTTCCAAATTTGCTCATTTAAATGTGAATAAAAAAAAAAAAAAGTGTTTTTTTTGTTGTTTTTTTATCCCCAGGCAGTGTTTCTCAGCCAGCCGAGTCCTATGCATGCTATTAGGTTATGCTTTCTGTGTTCTGCCTTACCACTCTGCTATCTGGCTACAAGACAAAGCAGATAACAAGCTGAGGTTTTTCATCATATTGTCATTTCATCATGTTTTGTACTTTGTGAAGTTTTTTTTTTTTCCCCTCTCTCCATTTGCTGGGCTTCGGTATTATAAAGGAGAAATGAAATTATGCTAACATTTGCTTTATCTTTGTTCATGGACAAGCATAGTCACTCCGTGTAGAAATGAACATAGAAAATAAAGGTTGGGAGGAGGAGGAAGAGGAATATTTTTTCCCTTTCTCTCTTTTTTCCTTTTTTTAATTTTTTTATTGCAATTTGGGTGAAAGCTTCCAGAACAAATTGGTACTCCATTTAACAATCCAAATGCAATGTTTTGTTACATTTACTGCAATCCCTACACTGTAACAGCATTCTTCCTACTTCTTCACTATACCCACCCCTTCCCTTCATTCTTCCTTCCTATTCCTTTTCACCTTCCTATCTCTATCCTTGGGCAAATGCTGCCCTCTTGATCCTATATGCATGATTGTTCTAATGAGTGCATATCCTCCTAGTGTTACTGTTCACCTTATAGGCCTGTCTGTCATTCGGCTGAAAGTTAAGTCATGGGGCTTAAGTTCAGTTTCAGCTTGAAAGGTATCTAAGGGCTGCCTTCCACTCTTTGGATATTAGAGCGAGTGTATGGAGTCTGTCATACTGGTCTTCATCAGACTAGTAAACCTGGTCTTTTTTATGATTTTGAGTTTTGTTCCACGTTTCCCCTACTCTTTATGAGAGCTCTTATTGTATGTAATTCCTTTCAGAGTGGTCAGCAGTGGTAGATGGGCACCATCTAGTTCTTCTGGTCTCATGATCATGGAGGCTGGGGTTCATGTGCTCTGTTAGTCCTTTGGACTAATGTTTTCTGTGTAAAATGTAAAACGTCACTCTTCTTTGATGGGGAGTGGCCAATAGTTGTACCTTAGATGGCCCCTCACAAGCTTTTAAGACCCCAGTCACTACTCACCAAAGCAGGATATAAAATATTGTCTTTGTGAACCATGGTATACCAAATGGCCTTAGGACCCTGAGGCTATGGTTGTTAGCCTCTATACCCAGTGCCTCATTCCCTCGAGGTGCTTGGTTATGAGCAAAATGTTTTCATAACTTTGAGGGGAGAGGAGACAAGACAGCCAAAGAGAAAAGTAAGTTGATGTATAAATGTACCCTTATGTAGTCTGGAAAAGTTGCTCTACAAGCTTTATTTTCGCCAAGTAAACCAGAAAAAGAAAAGAAAAGAAGAAGAAGAGAGATCATGAGAGAGAAAGCAAATAAATAAAAGGAAAAAAACCCCTGTGTTTTGTTGTTGATATTATTAGGTCTTCCACCTCCTTCCACAAGAGAACGACCTCCTGGGTGTAAGACTGTGTTTGTTGGAGGATTACCAGAAAACGCTACTGAGGAAATTATTCAAGAAGTCTTTGAGCAGTGTGGTGATATCACAGCCATTCGGAAAAGCAAGAAGAATTTTTGTCACATTCGCTTTGCAGAGGAATTCATGGTTGATAAAGCCATTTACCTTTCTGGTACTTTGCATTACATAAGGGGTTTCTAAGCATTTTGTTGTATTTTGTGATGTTAATAGGAGCTTACTCCCTTTTGCCTTAATGCACAATGAAGTCCTCAGAGTTAGTGGTTGGCAAAAGAGGAATTCTGCATTTTCCCTTGGCTGCCAGAAGCTCTGTGTTAAGTCTGTGGATTTACCTTGCCACAGGCACAATTTTCCACCATCCAGTCCTCAGGAATTCCATCTAGTTTCTAATTAATGTTCTCAAGTGCTTATTAGATGAAAAGCAATATTATGAGTACTGAGGGCCATTATTATTATTGGATGTAATCCTCTGGGGGAATGAAGTACTCTCTCAGAATAATTTCAGCTTTTCAGAAGTGGATTCCATTGCTAGACACCAGGGTACCAAAGCAAGATCAGTTCCCTTAAGAAAGTAGTCTGTGGGCCCTGAGGTAAGGCCTGATCAAGTTGCCCATTTGATCATGCCTTACACTTGGTAAAACCTGCCCCATGATCCCTGCTTCTTGAGTGCCAGTTTTTACAGGAGTATCTTAACAGATGTAAAAATTAGGCCAAATGCTGCCTTCCACTCTTTGGGTGTTAGAGCGAGTGTATGGAGTCTGTCAGCAAGGCCTTTGCCAAATCTAAGAATTAGGAGACTGCTATTGGCATGGCTACCAGCCATTTCTCAGAAGGAAGATGGGGTAATCTACTTCCTTGGTGATACTGCCTCGGAAACCCAAGGAGGGGTCGCTATGAGTCGGGTCCGACTCGATGGCAAACAACAAAACAAAAACAATTGACATGCAGCTTTAGAAGGATGTGTTTTTAGATTCAACTCATTACCATTCCTACACACACACTCCATCACATTTTTCAGACCATCATTCTTTGCTCATTACCCTCCTATTCCTGAGGCAAAGCTAATGGGAAAAGGTGGGGAAACGATAGGAGAAAAAATAAAAAGTACATCTGAACACTGCTGCCAGGTTTTACTTCACATCCACAGTCAGCCCCTATTGCCATGGAATTCTATTGCAAACCCCAGAAGCCTTGAGGTTATTCCAACACCTGAGCTAGAGATGATATGCAGAACTTTAAAACTCTTACACTAACAAGGATTTACCTAGTGGGAGGGGGAAAAGGAGATGGAAAACAAAGCATAGAGCAAGAACATTATACAATGCACAAACACCTTGTCTTACCTTCATTTATTCCTGAACTGTAGTATCCAAACTGTCTATTAGAAAATTGGGTTATTTTATTATTATTATTATTATTTTCTGATTGACCTGACTCTGGGCTTCACATGCCTTGGACAAGACATTTAACCTCTTTCAGAGCCTCTGTTTTCTCATCTACAAAATAAAGATCATACCAGTACCTACCTCCTGGGTTATTGTGAGGAATAAATGGAATAATGGATAGTTTACAGTACTTAGCAAAAGCCAAACTCGCTACCATTGAGTCGATTTCCACTCGTAGCAACCCCCATTGGGTTTCCCAGGCTGTAAAGCTTTCTAGAAGTAGAGTGCCCCATCTTCCTCATGGAGCAGCTGGTAGGTTTGAACTGCTGGCTCACCTTCTGATTAACAGCCAAATGCCTTATCCACTACCCTACCAGAGCTCCTTAAGTGCTGAGCAGAGCACCTTCAAAATAGGAGCCATTCAGTAACTATTGCTTTTAGCACAAATATCCTGCTGACCGTAAAGAAGGACTGATTCTCATTTCTCAGGAACCCTGCTCTGGGGACCTGGGTTCTAATCAGGGATCTGCTATAAAAACTAGTATTTTACCTCACCTGATGAAATGAGAGGGAGCTCAGAGTTAGAGTAGATGAAAAGCACCTTTCAACATGAACTTAACACATTTAGACCCAGTCAGAAAACTCTAAAAGACATTGCCAAAGATAAACAGTTCCACATTAGACATTTTGAAGTATTCTTTTATTTGTGCCTTGATGCTGCATTTTCGCAGCCCTGACCCTGGTCTTAAGGAGCTCTGGTGGTATAGTAGTGCCTAAGGCATTTGTCTGCTAACCAGAAGGCTGGCGGTTCAAACCCACCAACCACTCCATGGAAGGAAGACTGAGCAACCTATTCCGTAAAGATTTACCACCTCGACAACCCAAAGGGGGTTGACATGAATTGGAATCGACTCGATGGCAGTGAGTTTGGTTTTAGTTTGGAGCCCTGGTCCTGCTCCTGCCAGTAGCATCAGTGGTTACTTCTTGATTTGCTCCTTTGCACTGAAGAAGGGACCAGCAAATGCCTGGCCTCTGCCTCCCTGCCTGGGCTCAGCCTAGGCCGCCCTGTGGAGCATCTGTCCCGGGCAGCTCTGAAAGGCTGATTAATTGGGAGGCAGGCAGGAAGGAAGGCTGCCCCTCCTGTGCCTGAGTTCCTGCAAGCCTAAGCCCAGCTGTGAGGCCTGTCTAATTTTAGGACGCGTTCACATTTGAAGACCAAGCTAATTTTAGACAGCCTCATCAGGGTCTCTTTTAAAGGCCTTAATGATGATGTTTCGGTGAAAGAGAAGGGTGCCTTTGGAACCAGAAACGTTTGAAAAGTGAGCTGGTGGGCAAGAGCAGGGGCAAGTTGCTTGGCCGGTTGGGACAGCTGGCCAGTGTGAGTAGCCCTGCCTGCTCAGCTGTTGTGCACACGTCTCCATGGCCTGCCGATTGCTGCGTTTCCATGGCCCACAACCAAGACATCTTGCTTTAGCATTAATTCTGCTCATCTTTGATTGGATGTTTGTCTTGTTGGTAGGTATTGTTATGTCTTCCCATTTTTAAAATCACACAGCTGAAACTGTAGGAATGAGAAGGGTTCTGTGGCATAGCAGGAATCAGATGTGAGATTGGTATCTTATTTGTAAGTTTCAAAGGTGTGAAGTGCCCTACTGGGGAGAAGCCAGACTCTCTAGAGGTTTTCAGCTGAGTTTTAACCCAAAATGCTAAGATAATCCATTGAAATCTGCCATGAGATCTTGAACATCAGCGCAGGGCAGCCTACAATCCTGCAGTGGTATCTCATTTGCAAGGCCCCTGCACAGCAGAAGTGCTCCCTTTGCCATCTTTCCTGACAGACCCTGACAGCCTGGTTCCTGCTGGGACCTGAATTTATGTTTTTAAAATCTAAGCACCCCAAGCTGAAGAGAGCAACCTCAAAGCCAGCTCATTCATTTGAAGTTTGGCTAGTTGGCTGGCAGGCGCCAGTCCTGTTTGTATTGATTTCTAAGATCAAGTTTCTACTTATAATCTTTATAAGTTGGGTAGCTCACAGTCAGTCCCCCAAAGACCCCCCCAAGCCCGTTTTCCCTCTAGCTCTGGGCACCTGTGCGGGGCTCCCGTAGCTTTCAAAGATTGCGTGGACAATTTATACAGAGCCATGTGCCAGATAATCGGCTGCAGGGCTATAAGGAAGGCAGTGGTGAGACCTCTTGATTGAAGGTAAAATATTCTCCTGTGTGCCCCCAGAGGATAAGTGGAAATAAAACAGCATTGCAAAATTGCCTTTGTAATTGTGGCTTTTGCAGCAGCCAAGTGAGAGCTGAGCAGCAGCACTTTCTAGCTGAATGAAAGGATCGCCTGTGAGTGAGGCATCGTGGAATTTACTTTGCAGATCTTTTTAAATACCACAGATATTCTTCATTTACTGCCACTCCACCTCTTTCTAAAAAGAATTTAAGAGCCCTTATGCTAAAGAGTGGGAGCTGTGGTGATATGGTGCCTAAGGCATTTGACTGCTAACCAGAAGGCTGGCAGCTCAAATTCACCAGCCACTCCTCAGAAGGAAGGTTGGGCAGTCTGCTTCCTTAGTGATACTGCCTCTGAAACACAAGGAGAGGTCGCTAGGAGTCGGGTCCCACTCAACAGCAGTGAGTCTATGCTAAACACTCACTGCAAGTTTAAAATCAATGCCATAAAAGGGGGGGGGGGGGAAGGCCAGATTTGATTCTGAGCTTCCTGGAAGCCAGAGGGAAGAAGGAATTTTGGTAAGTGTCATAGTTCTTGACATCATCCACTGTTGTTTACAGCAGTTTAGAAGATTCTGGGTAGGTGACCCTCAAACACCGCCCGAAAGGCTTGTTTGTCCCAAAACCTGTGATAGGTTTACCCTAGCAGTGCTTCAGGAGACCCTGGGTGGTGTGAATGGTTAACACAACTTAGCTGCTAACTGGAAGGTTGGAGGTTCAAGTTCACCCAGAGGTACCTCACAAGACAGGCCTGGCAGTCTCCTTCCTAAAATTCAGCCATTGAAACGCCTGTAGAGTACTAGTTCTGCTCTAACACCCAGCGGGTGGACATGCTTTGGAGCCAACTCCACAGCAGTAGCACTAGCCACGCTGTAGAATTAATAGGGAGAAGGATAACTGCATTTGTGATGAGGAAGAATGTCTGCTGTCCGTTCTGAGGGCCATGAAGTCAGTGAGTGCTCACCTAGGTGTGCCTTAAGGGACAGGAACAAAATGTGATGTCAGAATCTTTTGTGATCAACTTTCGGTTGGTTTCAGGTTACAGGATGCGATTAGGGTCTAGCACAGACAAAAAGGATTCTGGTCGCCTCCACGTGGACTTTGCCCAGGCCAGGGACGACTTCTACGAATGGGAGTGCAAGCAGCGGATGCGCGCCCGGGAGGAGCGGCACCGGCGCAAGCTGGAGGAGGACCGACTGCGGCCGCCCTCCCCGCCGGCCATCATGCACTACTCGGAGCACGAGGCCGCCCTGCTGGCCGAGAAGCTGAAAGGTATGAGGCGACTCGTGCTGGTGATTGTTCTCTAGGGTTGGCCGTGGCCAGCTAAACGAGAAGCACGGGGATCCCCACGCACCGGAGCCCTGTGTGTTTCTCACATGAGCCAGCGTCCCCTAGAAGCAGCAGAAACCTAAGGAACCAAACACCATTCAGCTTGGGACAGGGCCCTTCTGCTTTCCCACACTCTCACCTGTGTTTCCGACCTGTGCTGCTACTCAACATAAATCATAGCATAAAGGGACAGAGGGTAGGAGACACATACCCAAAAGTAGGCTATTGTCTTCTGGCCTGGTGTTTGATGGGCCAGGCAGGCCTACTCCTAGGAGTGGGCAGTTCTCAGTGTTCTTCAATCAAGTAGCTGCAGTTGGTTGAACTCATGTGTGTCAGAATAGAACTGTACATTACAGGGTTTTCAGAGGCTGATCTTTTGGAAGTAAATCAACAGAACAGGTGCTTCTGGGTGGACCTGAAATTCCAGCCTCTCAGTTAATAGCTGAGAACTGTAACCATTCACATCACTCGGGGTTTTAAGAACTCTATAAAGAGTTTGCAGCTATGCCACACTCTTCATCAAGCCTTACTTAACAATATCAAATGTATAAGAATCCACCTAGGATATATGGAATATAGAAATGTAGACTTGGAGTTCTGTTTCCACAGATGGAATTGAGGGGACACTTCTAACATCCATGTTGTTGTGTTGTTATGTACCGTAGAGGCGGACCCGACTCACAGCGACCCCTCCTTGGATTTCCGAGGCAGTATCACTGTGGAAGTAGATTGCCCCATCTTCCTTCTGAGGAGTGGCTGGTGGGTTTGATCCTCCAGCCTTCTGGTTAGCAGTCAAATGCCTTAGACACTATGCTACCAGAGCTCCCCTAACATCCATAGGATACTTAATAATAGAAGAAACTGGATTTCATTCCTTCAAATGTTTGTTGAACCTCTCATCCACGTTTGATGTTGTGGAAGATAGAGATGGATGTGGAATTTAGTACCTGCCCCAGTGATGAAGGGGGGAGAAGCCACATTTTGAAGTTAGGATGACATGTGTATAAATTCAGTTGTGTTCCTGACTGAAGTTGTGCAACCTGAATAACATCTGTGTGTTTTACAGGCAAATGATGCCACACTAACCCTGAGGTTATTGGGTGCTTTGAGGATTAAAATGGGAGAAAGCCCCAGTCATAGTTGCTGACTGCGTGCAGTTATCTGCAAGTAAACAGCTAACTATCATGCAAGGCTGAATGGCATGATAGTCAACCCAGGTTTGAGCAACCTCCTCTGGAAACAGGGAAAATTGTAACTAATGTTGATGAGGGAGCTCTGATAGCATAGTGCCTAAGGCACTTGACTGCTAACCAGAAGGCTGGTGGTTCAAACCCACCAGCCACTCCTTGAAAGGAAGACGGGGCAATCTACTTCCTTAGTGAATCTGCCTTGGAAACCCAAGGAGGGGTCGTTATGAGTCGGGTCCAACTGGACGGCACACAACAACAACGTTGATGAAGATGTCAAGAAAATCATCACAGAGAAGGAAGAATTTTAATTTTTCAGGATACACAGGATTTTTCCAGGAGAGAAGAGTGTAAGGAGCACAAAGGAGCATTCTAATCAGAGGCCTGAGCTTTAGGAGCACAGACCCAGAAGCTGGGAAGTATCCAACACGAGCCGAGAAAGGCTAACTGTCTGCTCTCATGAGTGAGCGAGCTGCGTGGAAGTGTCTAGAGCTGGGTGGAGCTGCAGAAGCAGGCTGGGTCAGAGGCAGGGCCGGACAGCTGCTGCATTGTTTGGGTTTTGTTCCAACTGAAGTGGGGAAATTGTTAAAGGTTTCTGATGAGAGGAGAAATGTGATTGATCCTGTAAGTGTCTGAGGCTGCATTACTGGCAGCATGTAATGTGTATTGGATGTTTTCACTAATAGAAATATATGAAAAGCTGACCCAAGTCTATTTTAGGAAGATACCCTGCTGCCATCAAGTTGATTCTGACCTATAACGATCCACATTGGGTTTCCAAGGCTGCAAATCTTTATGGAAGTAGATTGCCTTATCTTCTTCCTGTAGAGGAGCTTGTGGGTTTGAACCACCATCCTTCTGGTGAGCAACCAAATGCCTTACCTACTATGCCACCAGACCGCCTTTAGGAAGATAAAAAGTTGATATTCTATGCTTTAAAAATAAAACCCTGTACTTCCAGTCCTTACCCTCTGTTGGGGGCTTGGGAACCCCTATTGTGGTTAATGTTAGTTGCCCTTACATTGGCTCTGACCCATGGTCACCCCTGTGTGCAGAGTAAAACTGCTCCATAGGGTTTTCAAAGCTGTGACTTTTCAGGAGCAGATCACCAGGCCTTTCTTCTGAGGTACCTCCAGGTGAGTTCAGACTGCCAACTTTGAGGCTAGTAGTCTACTGCTTAGCCATTTGTACCACCCAGGGACTCATTGAGGACCCCTAACCAGGCCCAATTGCAAACTGAAATGACCCCATCCTAACCTGGACTACTTCTTGATGATGCCATTCTGAGAAAGGATTTCTTATAGGGGTAAATAGGAGGTCTGGTGGCTAGTGCCTAAGACATTTGACTACTAACCATAGGTTGTGACTGTCCCTTTAATAAAAAGTACTTACAGTGTATGCACAAATATCACCTCACTTTTCCATTCAGCCTAGAGACCATAAGGAGCAGCTTGAATGAAAAATCAGCCAAGCTCTCAACCAGGAATTTTGATTGGAACAAGTATTGTTCCTTGTATTCAGTGCATTGTGTGGTACCAGTTTCTGATCTACATAGCTAAAACTGTACTCAATCATGTCCACACCCAGGAATGACAGAATCTAGCACCTTGATCCCATGACCTCATGGAGGACCTTTATGACAGTTTGACATCTACACATTATTTTAAGAAGCCAGCTCAGAAGTGGAGTGCACATAAGAACTACATGGCACTTGCCTTTCCTGTTAGAGGACAGCAGATTGGGATGTCAATTTGGGAAAGCAATTTGCAAGCCTTGCCATTTCAAAAATATATATTTATATAGATGAGTATAATTTGCAGAATTCAGAAACGGTTCCTTTGCCAAGTACTGTGTGATCCCTTGAGGAGAGAACAGATTGGAAATTTTAATAGATGGCAGTTACAGTAGAATGAACTAGCTAGGGATACATCTTAGGCAAGAGTCAGGTAATATCAAGCTTGACAATTTCAACCCAAGCACAGAGTTTGGAATATAAACAGGATTTAATTGCTTAGGAAATTGGCAGCCTCACGAAGAGGAAATCCACTCTGCACTCCCTATAACGCTGCAGAGCCAGACAGGAGGAGCCACGGAAACTCTTTCCCTGAAGATGAGTTCATTGATATGGGAGTATAAAATGTAGTCAAGACCTAGAGGGAAAGAAGCCTGTATCAGAAAGGAAATGGAAATGCAATCTGAAATTACCTAATTGGATGTGATTTTTCCCTCCTCCAAGAAATCTTGCTATCTTAGGTTTATTACAGACATTTTCCCCCCATTTTCCATGGTACTTGTTTATTCTTGCAATTTTCTGTTTATCCAGGTTTATGATGATCCACCAGGCCCTCCTAGCACAGTGCTAAAACACTGCACACAGTAGGAACTCAGTAAATCAGTGTCTTTTCTGTCTCCCTCAGCTATTTTGAGTCTATGTGTATGCTGCAAGTCTGGCCAGTAGTGCTACTGTGCATGGCCAGCAGTTCAGGGATGTGATGGGCACTCAGCCGCCATTCCAGTCTCTCAACCAGCATTCACTGAGCTCCTTACCACATTACTTGGGCACGTGGTGCTGGGCACTGGGGGAGAGAAAGTCGTGTGTAAGCCCCTGCCTTGCACAGTTCATGTGAACTGAATGACAGAGGCAGTTACAAAGCACTCTCCCACAATGGAAAGCAGCTTGCTTCACAGAAGAGAGACCCAACCAGCAGGACATCTCCAGGGGTCAGGAAGCTTGGGGGGGGGGTGCACTTGGCCTCCTGAAGGAAGCCTTAGGAAGCCTTGAGTTTCAGTTGTGTAGCATCTGAAGTACAGAGTCACCCAGTGTCTGTTATGTTAATACAGATTCTGAAAAAGAAAATTAGTCGGCACCCTGCTGATTAAATAGACATTGTTCTGAGACAATTCAGCTTAATGAAGACTGTCTGAGAAGCAACTCTTCACAGGCCCAAAGTTTATCGTGTGGCTTTGAGAAAGAGAGAAGGCGCTCAATAACACCATAATTACACTTTATTGGAAACAGTGGCACCAGGCAGATGAGATAATGAATTTTGGTGTGTCTCACACAGACTATCCAGCCCTGGAGGAACCCCTATTTGGACTGTGGAAAGAAGAGATTGATTAGACAGCGAGGAAGGATTATATATACTAATTCACTGGGGATTTCTCTTGGCAAGAGCATTTTAAAGTTCTTGTGTACTCTTATGTGAGTATGAAGTTTCTCTCTCCATCAAGTGAAGTACTGACAAAGCTTTCTAAGCAGTGCCCTTGGGATTCCCTGATATGTCATCAAGATTTCAGTCCTCCCTCATGGGATAGATGGCAGGCAGATTACCCAATAAGCAAAGTAAGCATAGGCTTACTTGTGCTTACTTATTCATCCGCAGTGACCAGTTTCACATGTTTTTCACTGTTCACTACAAGATTCTTAAGTAAGCACAAGTAAGCTCATGCTTACCTTCATCACAGAATATTCTGGCCCTGTCAGGGATTATAAACTTGCAACGAGGCTTTGGTCCTGTAGGAAGGTGCTGTGGGATTGGGAGAGAGACAGATGCCAGCTATACCTAGAAGCAGAATCTTTGATATAAGGAAAAAATGTGAAATTGTTCACTACAGATTAGTAAATAAGCACAAAGGAAGCCCTGCCTACCTTACTTACTGGATAATTCATTACAGCGTGGGATCAACATCCTCAATTACCAGAAGACTCAGCTCAGATTTGCATACAGTATGGCCCAGGGTTAGCCTGCCAGCAGG